TAACCACTGACCCCTGATGTCAGTTTCCAGCTTGTCCTGTCCCTGACCACTGCTATTATTCAATGCAGCTAGCAAACTAGAGTGGAACCTATAAAAACTCAGCAAGAGTCTTGAAATTCCTTAGCTAAAAATTGTCTTTCAAAACTGCAGAGCTCTCCAACTTCTTACGAGTAAAACTAAAGGGACTTATGTACTAGTAAATTAAATTTGTTGTCTTCAGATAAATAATTCAGATCTGGTGAAAAAATATCTTAAATATCAGACTTATAGACAAGCTCCACCAACAGACAGGTGTAGTACCAGCTGGTTATGATCATTATTCCAGTCCCTTAAGAGCAGTGTCTGGACGTGGTTCTTTTCTCCAATCTGTCTTTCCATTCTAGCACTCATGCATTGATTGCATGTGCTTTAATTTCTTCAAAAAATTTGTTTATTCTTGCCTAGAGACTGCCAAACTCCAAGCGATCAGGCAGATGGAAATGACAAATGTGCCAGACTTTTACCATGAACCACTAGACAACCCTTCTAAAAGGAGTTACTAACTGCTAGATGCCAACATGAATTCTATCCAAGGCCCATTAGGTTAGCTATCTAGAAAAGGTCCCTGAGGTCAGTCTCCCCTACTCAGATCTTTCTCAGCTTGAAACAACTAGTTTAAAACTATACCCATTCTCTCCTAAATTAGTGATACCTCTTCAGAAGGGGGAATATTATAGGCCACTAAGTTAGATAAAAATTAATATATAGTCAGAGAGTAACTGGGCTCTCAAAGAAGTCAGTGATAAATACAGATCTCACAATTGTGGCTGCAGGTGCATGTGAAGAAGGCAAGACCTCAAGATAAAGCAATAATGGGCAGACTTGCATACTTCTTAAGGGGTAAGCAAAACTTGCGACTGTGCTCTACCTAGTACCACTCAGTTTATTAAATACAGATATACATCAGACACCCAGGTGGATGACCAGATTGCACTAACCATGGACCCTAAACCTGAACCCCTGAACCCTTCTTCAAATTGTTCAGTTTTAGAAGTCATAGATAAGCCAAGGTTATAGATGCTAGCCACATAACCTTGCTACATGCCCCACTCCTCTATTGAATCAATATCAGCTAAGTGATTATACTTGCATCTTTATTAATTGATTAAAATTTGAACTACATTGTGACTTTACTGTATAAGTTACCACTGACAAAGGGGTAACTTGGTGGCAATGTACTTGGGACCCTTCCTGTCTGTCACAAGTCATCTCTCATAAACCTTTCCTACTCTTACAAGAACTATCAGCCCCAGTCATCCTATCCCTGCCTTACCTGCCATCATCACCATTCTGGTTAGAAGAGTTTGGTTAGAAGAAATGAACAGTAGTTTCTTCTCATTGCTTCATACTATTTTCGCATGTATCTTTGGTGCAGACACAGGTAGGGGTGTGTGTGTGTGTGTGTGTGTGTGTGTGTGTGTGTGTGTGTCTATACATGCTCCTGGGACAATAGACATACACACTGTTAAAGTATTCTTGGAAGAGACAGGAAAAGGAATACTGTGGGACAGTCCTGCTTCAAGGTTGTATATGGTGAGATTTTTGGACTTATGTGCAAACATGAGAAGCATAGAATTCTTTATCCTATTGTTAAAATATAATCTAATTTTTAAATGTTCTTTATCATATTATGTAGGGACTTAAGGTTCAACATATCAATACTTGATGAAAAATACCTGTTCCTTATTATGCCTAAGATGTTTGAAATGTAGTGAAATAGTGAGGTTAAGCTTGATAACGTAAATCGTTTGATAATAACAATAAGCTTGTCTTCTGGATGGTTAACATCCTAAGTTTGCAGACCAAAATTAGAGAAAAAGGAGGGCTACAAGGAAAGCCAATATTTTGGCCCTACCCTTCTAAGGTCAATTAAGACTCAGGACATATGAGAACTTGTACTGTAACGTCATGTACCTCGGTAGTGTCCCAGATTTTCTGATCAAGAAGGTTATGGGGCCAAAGAGGAAATTGATCAATGACGTAGAGTGTGCCTAAGGAGAGTCACATGAGGAGAAGACACTCTCTCAGGCTTTCACAGAGAGCACATTGGCCAAGCAATGGCCGTGACTCATCCACATGGCTGCACTGACAAATGTTCTACAATCTGAGGTACAGGATCTCAGGATAAATCCTGAGGGCATTTCACTGACCTTCTCAAACCAAAAAGCTACAACTCTTGTTGCATAGGTCCTGCTTTACCTTGGTCTTAGCCATCCAGTAGAAAAGTATGAAGATGGAATATAGGAAGTAAAGCCATGTTGTTATGTTGAGCTGTGGGGGACTCAGGTCAATAATTTCTGACATTGCCAATTAAACAGAAGACTCAATGCTATTATGGGCTTCTGTACTCTTTTAGAATATTTTGCTGAGTTTACACACCTATAATATTCAACAACAGAACTTAAAAAAAATTGGGGTATAACTATGAATGTCCATTTTGTATCTGTGTATTCAAAGTGGTTGGGATAGATATATAATTGCATTCTCTTAATGAATAGAATGATTTTTTCTAATGGTGTTTGTAAGTAGGATCACAAGTCTGCATCTTGTACAGCAATTAACCACTAAGAAGAATATATGCAGTGTATTATTTGTTGAAACTGTACTTTCGATTTGATTTGAAACTGTCTCATTGCTATATGTTTATCAATAAAACTTTGAAAAGAAAAAAAAAGAAAGATGTATAATTTTGGGGGAAATGGACTAGTGATAGAAATTTTAAAAGGTTGTTTAACTAATAAAGCAATGCAAAATGAAAAAAAAAGTATTCTTGTAAAAGAAGATTGGTAACTTGAAAAGATATCCTCATTAGTTATTCTGAAGCATACTAGATAACACAGTATCTGAAAAGTCTCTTAAGCCTATCAACCTTATAGGGAAAAGTCCAATAGATGTAAAAGTATTTATTCACAAATGTAAATCTATTGATAGAAAAAATTAGATATTAGGTAGCGTAACACATTTGTAGCTTTATTTCTAAGTGCAGAGAAGTCTTTATAGCAATGGCACATTTGGCAAAGATCTGCAAATTTTAACCTTCAAACAAATATTTTATAGTTTATTTAATTTATACCTGTAATTTTGGCATTCTGAAAACTCTGGGCATCAATTAAAATCCGTAAACTGTCCCATGGAATCAGACTTTCTTTTCTTCTGTTTAGATTTTTCACCAACCTAAATAATAAATTACTTACTAGCCAACAATAATGATAAAAAAAAACAGGGAGTATACTGCAGCCCAAATTTCCCAAGGCTATTGTATATATTCAAAGACTTCACAACACTATGCATGGACCATTTTAAAACGCTAAAATGGAATTAGGTTGCCATAGAATAGTTATGTAGTAATTCATTGGTGACTTTAACCCTGATGGACACTCTTCAAATTTAAGGGTTGAAGTATACAGAAAATGTAGATGTTCAGTTCAAGTTATTGACATGAGGAACACAGAAATGTTTCATTTACAATTTCTGAAAAAAATACGGAGGCTCTTTTCAGTCCACTTCTAAGTAATAGTTTCTTCCTCTTTTGGGCTGACAGTTTCACTGTATTGGCAGGCTTATTCTTGAAATTGGTGTTATATAGAGTCACATGCATAAGAACAGCATTATAAAGCTAAAGTCAATATTTGAACTGATAAAGAGAATTACGACTATAAAGTACCAAGGCGTGATCCCTGACATTTAATGGGCATTCATTAGATATGTGATTAATGAATGACCTAATCAAATATAATGTAATCTGCAGCCATTACAAAGGCTAGATGTGTTGGCCAAATCATCTGAAGCAAAGCTAAATCACAAAAGAACATGCAGACTCATAGTATCTGATGCTTTCAAAGCACCTCTCACTCACCAAAGTTGATGTTACTGAAGCAATGAAAAGGAACGCTAGGCCTGTGATACCTCTGCTGTTGAAGACTGTGCAACACTGATCCAGATAAAGCAGAAATGCTTGATTAGCTACACATGTACACAATCCAGAAGTCATTGCAGGCATTGCAAAGACACCTACCATTGACACTCAGTATCCTCATGGAGAAGCTGAATGACTTTCTAATCAAGAGGTCTTCTGACCCTCTCTTCCTGTAGTCTACTAGGGCTTTGTATTTCCCTGGAGACTTGAAAGGTGTTTTAAAAAATTATATTACAAATTTGAGTGAAAAACTGCCTGCATAACTGCCTGCTCTCTCTGTCATAAAGAAGGCACTCTACTTCAAAAGTACATGCGGTATCTGCAATAGCTTTGCACGAACGAGCAATTTATGATGGAAAAAGGAAAGAGAACATGGGTTTATATAACCTGAAGAGTTCATTTTTATTTTGAAAAAGATAGATACAGCATGAAATGTACAGAAAATGATAGAGCACAATTCATTTGTTACATGAATTATAAGCATAAATCCAGAAAAAAGAATGAAAATATTAAATTTGAAATATAATTATTTGTAAACTACTCTTATGAAAATTTTATCTTGGCACATACAAAAGGCAATAGCTCTGAACAAAATTTACTAATCCCCCCCAAGAGGATTTCTGGATTTTATATCATTTTGCACAGGTTAAAATAATGGGCACAAAAGCTCTAGATCCAATGAAAGCCTATTAAATCATAATATTGTGCTTCACTTGACCTTAATCATTTTGCAGCCATAATTTTAACTTAGTTCATAATAAGCTAAATAATCCAAGGCACACGGATTGCATTTGGTTACAAAGATACAGAGAAGAAACAGTTTGTAAGTCCAAAAGTATTGTGAGATGAGAATTCTTCCAGAATCTTACACATTTAATACACTATTTTAAAGATATAGAGTATCATAATTAAAACTTTTTAAAACAGAAGAAAAAATATGTGCTGCTGATATTTTGCAAGTCCAAAGGAAATAACCTGAAATAATAGCCACATCATTTGGGCTGAATGTCCTTTGAGCAGTGTTTTTTCCACATGGGCTGAAGAGCAGGCAGGAAAGAGCTACTTGCCATTTGACTCAGTAGCTTCATCAATACAGGAGAGCCATATCCGACACGGGTCTCTGCAAGGGAAGTGGAATCCATTACTTCTCAGTTTTCACCTTAGTAAAGTGAAGCCAAAGGAGAGAAGCTCATTCCAACTTCATTATGGAGTGAGAAGTCCAACACATTACATTGCTCTTTTGTATGATTTCTTTAATAGTACAACTCATCAAATTATTGGGAGAAGAAGAAAACTAAGAAGTTTCCTCTCTTCCCCTCCCCCATAAACATAAATAAATTTTGCACATTTACTCTATTTGGTGACTTCATAGTCAGAAAAATGCTTGCTGAAGGCTCAGTTCTCAAGAATTCCTTCCTTCTCTGGTCATCTATAACAAACTTTTAAACACAAACTGTCTCTCTCTGGCCTTTTGTCCATATCTGAACTGCCTACTACTCCAATCCAATTAATTTGCAGATAATATTAATTAGGGAAATTAGTATTTTATTGCTAAAAGTAAGGGAGGCAGACCTTTGAGATTCCTGAGATCCTTTCAAGGGATATGAAAATCAAGAATACATTAAGGCATTACCTGCCTTTTTTACAACACAATGTACTTTTCCAGAGGTTGTCCAACATGTGATAGCACAACAAATTAAATGCAAAACCAGATATGAGTATTCAGCTGTCTTAGAGATTTACAAAAGTATTTAAATGCTATTATCTTTACTCATTTGTTTAGAAAAATGTCACTTTTAATAAAAATGTTATACACATTTACAATGGGCTTATTAATAATGTAAAATAAATGTATTTTTATTTCCCAGTTTTAATATTTTTAATGTATTTGGCACAGGGTATCACTATTCAGCCTGGACTCAGGATCCTCCTGTTTTCAGCCTCCCCAGCACTAGGATTATAGGTGTGCACCACCATGCCTGGTCTTGGTGGCCGGCTAAGAGCACTGCGTGGTGGGCTCAGTGTGGCATGTGGTCCCTAGTCCCTGCGCTTCCCTAAGCAGGCACTGAGTCTGCTGAGCTATCTTGCTGGCCCCTCAGTTTTAATAGTAAGGGAAATATCAACAAAGTTAATCTGTATGAGTTAAGAGTTATTTGGTGCTCTGAACTTTTAAGAAGATAAAGCATTCCTTTAACTCTCTAGACATCTCTTCCCATCTCTGAGTCTCAGTTTTCCCTTTGTAAATTATAGGTAAGAGAATTGGACCTTTCTCACACCAATATATACTGGTAATGTTGAGAAATCATTTGGTAAACTGTAAACTATCATACAAATATGGATTATGCTCATCATATTATGAGAAGACAAACAATCTATTACTTGTTTAAAGATAGAATTTTAGAGCTGATGCTGTACAGCCTTGCGAGTACACACACCATTGGTCTCTCACACCAATGGTAGACCTTCTAAAATGAAGGGCTTCCTCTAAAAGACAGCAGGGAGCAGGCCTCCTCCAAGCAGCACTCCCATCCTCCAAGCTGGTGCCTTCTGAAGGGCAGGGAGTTCCCCTAAGTGGTCCAAACTGCCCTCCAATAACACAGCAGGATCCTGGCTACTTGGAAAGGAATTCTTCTTTGAAACAGTTATATTCCCTAAAGCCACTTCCGTGCTCTGTATGCTGATATTGGGTATCATTAGCACATTTTTGAGAACTTGCTGGAATATATTTCCTGGAGGTTATGAAGTCCTTTTGCAGCATTTAATTTTTTTTCTTTTTTTGGTGGAACCGGGGATTGAACTCAGGCCCTTACACTTGCCAGGGAAGTGCTTATTCTACTAAGCCATCTCCCTGACCCACAGCACGTAATTTTTATCTCCTATATTTTCCAGTCTAGAATCTATACTAATTTCTATGGTATATTTGAAGCTTCTTTATTCTCTCTGATTCTTACATGTCTGAAAAACACAGTGATGTGTAAAATTGCATAGAGCTACACATAAACACATAAATAAGTGCATGAAAAACTGGTGAAATCTCTTTGTTTTGTTTTTGAGCACAGTACCAGGGATTGAACTCAGGACCTTATGTTTGCCAGGAGGCACACTTGCCAGGCAAGCATTTATCCTACTGAGCTATCTCCCCAGCCCATGAAATCTATTTGAATATGGTCTATGGATATTACCAGTATCAATCCCCAGGTTTTGATATTTTACTATAACTATTCATGATTTTACCATTAGGGAAACCTTGGGCAAATGGTACACGCGAATGCTCTGTACTATTTTTGCCAATTTCTGTGAATTTACGAATTATTTTAAAATAAAAATTTAAAGAAAATCCTATAAACATAGAGAAATACTGAAACACCCTACTTTAAAAAAAGATAAAACAAGCCAATTTGTAGACATTTGGAAAGATTGACTGCTTCATCAATTTCACTGGCTGTCCATGCATAGCTCAATTGGGTTCTAGATAAAGAAAGATGTATTTAATGCACATTCATAATAAGATACGATATGTTTTAAATGTTTTGCATATAGAATGTAGCTAATGACTTTAGGAAACTGACAAAAGATTGTTTGTCAATCTTTTCCTCAATATCACTGCCTCAACAGTTTTAACATGTCATTACTAACCGGTAAGGGCCTGTCTCCCTCTTCATTGCCATCATAAGCAGAGTAGAAATAGTTGTTAGGCCATTCCTCCGGATCTTCAGGATTTTCTGTAGACTGTGACTTCTCAGTCCAAACTACAAGAGAAATGTGGAGTGCAGCCATTACTGAAAGATTCTGATTCATCACAGGTGAGAAGTAATCTAACTGTAATTCTTAAGGCCATATCCTTCTGACTAGGATCTTGCACTATATGATAACATTGCCCATTAAGCTGTACTAGTTTGGAACTACTGGTATGTTACAAAATGGCTGGATGTTACATTCTCTTTTTAGTTTTTAGAATGGTGGGAAAGTTGTTACAAGTATTAAGTTAAATAACATTTCAGAGAATATTTACCTTTTCTTACACAATTGTATTGGTTACATGCAAATAGTCCTTTTAGCTTCTGCCTGATATTATTTTGGTTTGGCTTATCTCTGCTACATGGTGGAGATGTCGTATCACACATTAGATGCCCTATAAGACCCTGCATGGTAAGCAGTACTTGATTTTGTTTACAAAATCAGTTGACTTAGATTAAGTAGTCTGATAAATTAGCAGGATCTCATCTTGGCCATATTAAACTATTCCTGTAACTTTGAGAAGGTCATGTCAGTTATCTCTGACTTGGTTTCCACACCTATCAAATTAATGTGTAGGTCCTCTCCTGAGTGTTGTGGGGGCCAACCCAAGGGAAGTGGATAGTGGAAAACTGAGTGAGGTCATCACTACTGTTTCTCAACTACTGGGAAGCTGCGAGATCATTGTATATAAGTCCTGAGTACCAGGCACTCTGGTATTTCTTCAGAGGAGTCTATGCTTCTGATGCCAGAGTTATTTAGGGGATCCTACTTTGTGCTTCTATGGTATCTTTGACTCCCTATTGGGATGCTTACCACATTTTATTTTAATTGCTTGTTAAATTACCTATCTACTTTATTAATGTCATGAAAATGGTGGCTGGATGTACCTTAGACATTATGCCCAGTGATTTGCATAATTATGAACATACAGGTCATCTTACATTAGCACTTCTTGAATTACATAAATGTTTAAAAATCACCTCAAACAGTACCATTTTCATAAGAATAATAAACATTCCAGTTGTAAATTAATCCTATCTATTAATCTAAGAGGAAGTGAAAAGTGCATTGCTTGAAACCAATGCATGTTTTATTCTCTCTACATCCTCTATTACAAGGGCTCCCAAACTTGAACATAGATCAGAATCACATAAAGGATGGGCAACATTCAGATGGCTGGGTTCATGCCCAGCCAAGGTTTCTGCTTCTTAATGTCTAAGGCAGAAAGAGCCAAAGGAATTTCCTTCCATGCATCAAGGTCCAAGTGATGCTGCCACTGCTGCTCCAGGGGCAACACTTTGACAACCACTGCTCTATAGTGCCCACCCGGGTATTTTGCATAGGCCAGACATGAGCCTTATTAACCTGGCATGACTTTATTTTCTCTTTACACAACAATAACAGATGGACCGATTTCACAAATTACCAACTAGAAATAGGAACTTGCTCAGCCATGCATCTCATCTTGGGATGCCCACGATGCATACCTGCATTTGCTTCTGCCTGAACTGACATGATTGCCGCACTGCGCTCCACCATAGGACCAATGTGCCCAGATTCAGTTTCTTCAAAACTTGCACAAGCTGCCAGTTGTTTTCTGAAATATCAATGAGCTACAATAAAAGAGCTTCTATACACCACCCTAAGAATAGTAAGAAGTTAAAAATTTTATGTCTTCCACTGATATCATGTGTTAAGAACAAGCTCTGTGAGTTACTCAAACAGCTGTGTGACAATAGTTCATAATATGCTGAAGCTTAAATCCTAGGGCCTAAGCCAGCAGGTTCTATTTTATGAAAAGGGAGAAATCAGTTCATTCTAGACCCAAAGCAGGTCATGTTTTATATGACTATTCTGGTGCTGTGGATTTTTATCTTTAATGAATTAGGCAAAGTGTATATAAACAAAGAGCAAGCCTGAAACTGTGGATTATGCCTCATACTGTTGAGTTTGCACCATCCACTATTAAGCTAACTCCTACATGCAAACTAAAGTCTTTGCTTCTACACTGTAGGATAAAAGACAGAGTAGTGAATTGGGTACTCCTGAAATCACAGATGAGACTCAGAGCCACATTCTTCTGATTCTAGTTACTTCTAAAAGACAATGGTCAAAAGGGAAACACAATATTTCTTGTAAGTCATTCAACAATCCCTAAATAATGTGGATACTATATGATGAATCTCTTTGCTAGGATTCTGGAATCAGTGAAGAAACCCTTTCTGCATATATAGAAGTGTGGTGTGGACTTTCTAGCTTCTAGGATTCTTAAAAGCAGAATATAAAGCCTGCATCTCTCAACCAACAGCCATGTGTTATCATATGGAAGTTCCACCTTCTTTAAGGACCTTGTACTTGTGTTTAGGATCAGTTCCTTCTCCGGATTCTAACTTCCTCTCTAACCATGGCCAAACAGCTCGCAAGTACTCTCCATCAAGGGACTGAAAGTGGGGAGCCAGTCCTTTGTCTGACCTCTTTCCACATTCTTCCAAGTCTTTCTCCAGTCAGATGGAAAGTAACCAAAAATACCTGGATAAGAAACCAATTAAGTGCAGCCATTTTTACTGCATGTTTACTTGCAAATCTTATGATAATATTGAGAACAAACCATTTTAATCATGCTTTTAATGAACAGTCTGAGGGATAGCCATGAAGGACCAGCAGGCACCAATAAGTACATGGCTAGAAGTGAGATAATGTATTGGTGGAATCGGATGAGTCACTGCTAAAATGGCAGGTCTGCTTCTGTCTGAGATACTTTACATTGTGTCCCATTACACACAGAAAAGAGAAGATTATAGGAGTGATAGTTTTAAAGAATTATTACTTACTCATCATTCCGCTGAGGAGAAAGTTGATTCTGTTCTGCTGACCGATTCCGTTGCACCTGTTTTTTAACTATGAAATAAAATAAAGCTTATAAAAGTATCATTCAGAAGCTCCACTTTCTAATCCCATGTATGTCAGTGACTCTCTCTCTCTCTCTCTCTCTCTCTCTCTCTCTCTGTCTTTTTCTCTTTCTCTTTCTCTCTACCCCCCCCGGTTTACACACAAACACACACTCTTGCACACACACAAGTCAAAGGACTTGAAATAATGAGTGAGAAGGATGGTTTAAACTTGTTATTGGAAAAGATCCAAACCACATCAACAAGTGGAACCAATACCCAACTCCCTATCTTGAACTTATCAGGCACTGATTCCTTGAGGTCCTGAGCAATTTGTCTTGTGTGAGGGATTGGGAATTAAACAGATCAATGTGTTGTTTCCCAAGCACTAAGGTTTATTTTGTAGTATAAATAATTTAAATGACACTCTGAATCTTAATTTCCCACTTATTTATTTAACAAACTTGTTCATTATAAATAAATTAAATATTTACATTATCTGCAGATGTCATGAAATCTTAGTTAATGTGATGTTGCTATACTTCCTGTTCTGATGAATGCATATTTGTACTTACCTGTCATAAGCTCCTGTTGCTTCAACAAAATATTTCTTAGTTCTTTTAACCATAAAATCTTCACATCTATGTTAGGAGCCTAAAGATGTTTTTTAGAAAGGTGGAAGATATATATGCTTTAAAAATAATGCTTTTATAATAGGACAAACATAATTAAGTATATCAAACATGATCTGTTCCCTCAACACTACATACAACTTCTGGCCTTTTGGACTTTAAAATGTCTAAGAAGCTAGTCATTAGCCATCTGATTTGATGAAATAATGCACTCAAAATTATTTCAAAATTGCCCTTAAAAGTGGAGTAACAACTGAATGAAATGGAACATAAAATTTAATTTATTTTTCTTTTTTCAGGAAAGGTTCTTTTGAAAAAATAAATATTTTTCTGTCTTATTTTGGTAAAATAAAGCAAGGTCTAAAATTTCTGACAGAATAATCTTAGTGACTGAGGAAACATGAATGCTCCCTTAAATATCATCCCATTATTTACAAGATAGGTGTGTTAAATTTTACCAAGTATTCTGTCTTAAAGCAAATCAGTACAAAGTACTCTTAGGGATTATAGTCACTAAGGAAACAATTAAAGAAAATATTCTGCATTTGCAACAGATGACAGCATGTGGAGGAGTCACAAGTCATTACTCAAAGGTTTATGGCATCACCTGCTTGAAACACTCTGTTTCCTCTCACCTTCCCTGAATCAAGAGGGTGGACCCTACCCCTCTTCTGGGCAGAGCTTTAACCATACTCTTTAGAACCACAGAGCAAAGCTGAGCTGTAATATCATTGTGTCTTGTGAACAGGAGCCCTTTAAATGCTGAGGACCAAGGGAACTCAAAACTATGACAATTCCACAACTCAGGAAACTTGATGAGACCACAAAAGCACCTGCTGAGCTGTCAGCGACAGTTAATAAATCTCCTAGTATACCTATGCAAACTTAAAGCACTATGGACACCTCAACCAAAAGAGTACCTTATTTTAAAGAAAATACGCTATCAGAAGAAAAGTTAAGTACACTATTAAATATACTCAAATAATATGCAAGTGATCTATGTGAAAAGAGTGAGGTTTTTAATCTTCTTGATACAGGATCTTGCTGTGCAGTTCAGGCTGGCCTTGAGCTGACTTTGTAGCCCAGGCTGGTCTCAAACTCACAGCAATTCTCCTTCCTCAGACTCCTGAGTGCTGGGGTTACAGGCATGCACCACCACAACTGGCAGAATGAGATTTTTTGAAATATGATGAAAATTATTTTCTCCAATTAACATTTGTACATCTTAATGCAGATTAAGGTTTTTAGAATAATTTTATGATGACTAACCTGTATAATATAAACTTCTTCCTTGTCACCATACCAGATTTCAAACTTGCGGTTGTCACCTTTTACATATTCTGTGATTCCAACTTCATCCATCTATGACAAACACATAAAAATTTTATGAGCATTTTATTTTGCATATGAAATTACATTAACTCTACACCATATATTCTAAATGGAACAGAATTTATCACTTGGACAAAACACACGTTTTATATTCAATGTCTATGAAATCATAAGTATAATCATAGGCACAAGTATTTTCATGGGACTAAGTGTTTTCATGGGACTATGCACTTTATAATTTCAATTGTGAGCTCCATCCCAGTAATTGACACAAATGTTTTAAATTCAAATATCCTAGTACCCCATCTAAGATTGAATCCTATTTTAAATGAACTAACCACCGTTACAACAAACTATTGTCAAACTAACTATACACCAGTGAGAAAACCACCTGAAATTAATGTAAATAATTACTTCAATTAATTACTTGCAGACCAGCTAATCTTACAAGTTTATTACTTATCTCCATAGAATCCTTCTAAGGTACATATATCCCTTTTATGGGACAGAGAAGAACCAAGCAGGTACCCAAGTGTCCCTCTATTTCCTACAATCCTTCAACCACTATAGAAACTAAAACATCTGTCATGAGAACACGATATCTTTTTATAGCCACTAAAACATCTGTATCCAATATTTCCTTCTCATCACAGCTTTTTCTCTTCTCCATGTTTATGTTTCACATGATCTTTTTCACCACTACTACTAATCCCTTGGCCAATTCCACTTGGGGCAATTTTACTTCCTTCTGCATTCTCTTTTAGTTCTCCTTTGCCTTTCTGCTTTTCTTTCAATTTCTAAATAATTATCCAAAGGACTATCTCATTCTGTTCTACTTATAAATCCCCCAAACGTCCCTAATTAAAACAGGTAAGTATTAAAGGTAGTATTAGTTGATTCCCGTATTAAAGAAAAGGAGAGCAATTATGTGCAGAAATGAAATGTAACACATTAGTGAAAGAGTCTCTGACATCCATCCCACCTGGAGCCAGAAGTTACTTTGAAAATGTCCCCAAATAGTTTTAAGTTCTTAATATACCTCTCTAGCCTACTTCTTCTCAAATATTAAGATGTAAGGTGAATAATAATGTCACATTCAATCTTTTTAAAAATTGATTTTCTTTCCTCACATGGTTTTATCTTAAGTAGCTTGGTAAGCTGGAAAGCACATTGGCTTTGGGATCAGAAAGGGGTATATGTCTTAGTGTGAGCTGCTGAACTTTTCTGAAATTTGATTTCCTTATTTATAAAATAAAAACATCTGTTTCATACAATTTATAGAAGAATTACACAGCATGCATTAATTGCTCAGATCACATAATGAGATTTTCAAAGAATGAATTTACTTTCTACTCTTTCCCTTTTATGAACTGAAATATTTTTATTAGCTTTCATTGCTAGTATATAGCATACGA